AGTTTCAAAATGTCAACACAAGATGGCAGCACTAAATTTTAGACCAGATGTAGCAGTAAAACGCGAGTGATAACAATTTGATAACTCATATACGCTCTTCTTTCTTTAGCGCACGCGAATTCCTAAAAGCGGAAGAGCGCGACTCGTTTGAACCGCGCTGCATGGACCGTTTTTAGCTCTGCCTAAAGACAGCGCAGAGCGAGTTTAGAACAAATGCGTTTACTCGCTGACTGATCTCGATCACGAGACCACTAAACAGCGCTGCGAGTTGCGTTTGAGTTTGGAGCAGAGGTTTCAATACAAACCACAGATGTCAAAGGAAGATGAAACAGCGCTGACGTTCTCAACAACACTAACGCAGAAAATAGGAGAAACACTGTGCGACAACAATGCAGTAAGAATACTTTTCAATCCACAAATCACCAACATTTTGATTTACTGTTAGTAACAGTAGGCTAACTGTGGTATTGTGGCAGAAATGTTGCATATTTATACAAAATCTTCTTATATTATTAATGTAGACATATAGGCAAATTTAATGTAATGTAAGGGAGTTATGAAATATAAGTTAGTCCAAATTACAGACATTTTTTATATTTAGCAGTTTGTGCTTTCATGTGTTAATAAACTAAATACCATATGAAATTTATTAGAGAACTCATAAATTATGAACAGATTAACACGTATACTACCGTTCAAAAGTTTTGGGGGAAGATTTTATTTTTTTTATTTTTTATAAATTGATGCTTTTATTTAGCACAGACGTATTAAATGGACCAAAAGTGACAGTAAAGAAATGTTTTAAATATTTCTGTTTAAAATAAATTCTGTTCTTTTGAACTTTCTAATTATCAAAGAATCATAACTGCATAATTGTTTTCAGCATTGATAATAATAAGAAATGTTTCTTGAGAATCAAATCAGTCAAATCAGCATATTAGAATGATTTCTGAAGGCTCGTGTGACACTGAAGACAAACAAGATAGTGTCTGATAATGGCAGTCCTCCCTAATATCTCTAGCAAACATATTTTGCAACTTCCCTTCCTAAATAAATGTTGACGATGTTGTTAAATGAGGCATTTTAATGTGCACAGACACACGTTCTAATACTCAGACCAAGATGTAAATGGCACTGCGCAGCAGATTTATTCTGCTGTATGATAACTCACAGCTCTATTTTTGAAATCATTTATGGTGCCTTGTCCTCTATATCACAGTTACAAATGTGCTTCTTTTCAGGATAGCTCAACTCTGCGGTTTGTTACCTGCCAGCAGTTCCAGTGAGTCATAAAAAATAGCACAATTTTCCTCTTGCCAGCACAGTCACATAATTTACATGATATAGCTTGAAATATGATACACACCCCATCTTCAACCAGCAGAGTTTCCCATTCTCTCTTTTTTCACACAGGCTATGTTTTTGCATCAGCTGCAAGTAGCCTATCTTCAGAACCAGGTATGCAATCTTTTTTTCCCTCAGATTAACACGTATACTATCGTTCAAAAGTTTTGGGGGAAGATTTTGACTTGATACATTACCAGATAAACAAAGTATATGAAATGTATTAGAGAGCTCATAAATTATGAACAGATTAACACATATACTATCGTTCAAAAGTTTTGGGGGAAGATCTTTTTTATTTATTTTTATAAATTGATGCTTTTGTTTAGCACAGACACATTAAATGGACCAAAAGTGACAGTAAAGACATTTTTTAAATATGTCTGTTTTAAATAAATTCTGTTCTTTTGAACTTTCTAATTATCAAAGAATCATATTGCATAATTGTTTTCAGCATTGATAATAAGAAATGTTTCTTGAGAATCAAATCAGCATATTAGCACGCGTGAAGGAAAAGCCCACAGTTCTGCTCTCTAGCGCTCAGCTGATCCTCAGGAGGGGTCTGACCACCCTCGCTGCTCTTCTCATCCTAGCTGTAGGGATAGCCGTCCATCTCACTGTGCCTTTACCTGATGTATCTTATGGTGCTGGGGCAAATTTTACTTCGGACTCAAACTTTACTACACCTTCATCTCTAATCCATTCAACTTCAATCTCAATATGAAAACAAGAGGCTAGAGCTGTAGCTGTTCATACATACAGTGGGTACGGAAAGTATTCAGACCCCCTTAAATTTTTCTGTCAATATGGGGTGCTGTGTGTACATTAATGAGGAAAAAAAATTAACTTAAATGATTTTAGCAAATGGCTGCAATATAACAAAGAGTGAACAATTTAAGGGGGTCTGAATACTTTCCGTACCCACTGTATATGCCAGGTATTTTATGTTTTGCCATTTTTTAGAAAGTTATATTTTCCAAAACACATTTTATAATTGCTAAAACACACACACACACACACATATATATTTAAATCTTTGAGGTTTAATAAGATAAAACACTGAATAAGAAAATTATATTTTAAAATATTTTATATGAAAACCTGCAGATTTCTTTGTGTTCTGTTTTTTTTTAAATCGTAGATTTTATTTGCAGCGATTACTGATGTTTTGGACTCTCAAGTTTGACTGAGATTGTTCGGGAACAACATTGATAGCATAATCCATTACATTTTCTACCTTTTCCTCAGGGATTCATAGGGCAGAAAGTAATTTTTATGGTCACCTTGAATGAAACAGTCCCATCTGCTGACCATGTTCTGCAGTAATGAGAGGAAAATGCAACAATCCTTAGAGAAAATGTAGGGATTTGTACCCTCTTCCTATGTTACTCACGTCCTCTGACACATTAAGCCTTACATGCTAGAATTTCTGATTATTAAAAAGAAATAAAATACAAAGCACTTTTAATGTATTTTTAAACATCTTAGGTTTGCATAACATACAACAAATACAATTGCAGAGTTTTCAATCATGAGCAGTCCAATCATATTATATATAATCGGGCATTCCTGATTTGATTTGTTTTGATTTTAAATAAAAAAAGATAAATGAAAATGATAAAACAGATGTTCCAGTATTCATCCTTAGCACACATCCTTCATATTTTAAACATAACTAAAAAAGAAATAAAAGGAGACAGGTTGGTGTATGCACAATATTTATTTGGCAAATGATAGAAAAAAATTAAAATAAAGCTACTTTGAAATTTGTTACTCATCACACATTTGCAATATTAAAATTCAGTCCAGCTTTGTAGAAACTCAGAGCAGCTGTTACAACATAATTTTGCTTTTTCGCTCTTTTTTTTCCTTATTCTTTTTCTTGAAATTTTGCCAGATCTTTCAGCTTTGTGAACCTCACACTGGTTCAAAGGTTGGTGTGAGGCACTGAGGAGGAAGGGAAGACATGTTAATGTTTGCTTCTCTCCTTAAAAAAAGTATTCCTTTGTATGAAATCACATCTACTGTATATGATGATCCAACACATCATGAGTCTGATGTACAACAGATAGTAGTCAGTCATGAAATTGTTTCCAGGAACCTGATTGATGATTCACTGATTTGTTTGTAAATGTTCATGACTGTGAGATGCACTGTATGAAGAAACAACCCAAAATAGATCTACAATTACAGTGACATTACTGGCAAAAGACAATTGAAAGCAAGTTGTAATGATAAAAAAATCTTGGCTTTTGAAATGTTAAAGTCATATTTGTGGCTCTAGCTTGAGAATGGAAAGAGCAGCTGGATGAATCATTTCACATGGGTTCATGGAGGGGGATGTGAAAAAGAGGAAAAGAGAGATAACTTAAATGTGAATGGCATGCACAAGGCAAAACAAAAATATTTGTCATTGTAATCTGAAGGACATTGAAAGTGAAAAGGCCAAAGGTCATGTGGAGTATCAAAAACCTGAGAATTTGATTATTTAGTAGCATAAGGTTTTAGTATATATAAATATAGAAGCTTTTACATATACAATTGTTTAATGTTTTTAAAGACATCTCTTTTGCTCACCAAGGTTGCATTTATTTGATCAAAAATACAGCAAAAACAGTAATATTGTGGAAAATGATTACAGTTTAGTTACTGTTTTCTCTTTTAATATATTTTATAATGTAATTTATTCCTGTGATGGCAAAGGTGAATTCAGCAGTCATTACTCCAGTCTTCAGTGTCACATGATCCCTCTGAAATCATTCAATATTCTGATTTGGTGCTCAATAAACATTTCTTATCATTATCAATGTTGATTGCTTAATATGCTTAATTTTGCTCAGTGTGCACTGCTTAATATTTTTGCAGAAGCTGTGATACATTTTTTCAGGATTCTTTGATGAAAAGAAAGTTCAAAAGATCAGCATTTATTTGAAATATATATTTTTGTAACAATGTAAAAGTCTTTACTATCACCTTTAACCAATTTACTGCATCCAATGGCTGAATAAAAGTTAAAATGTCTTTTTTAACTCAATGTTGTAATCATTTTAATTTGAAAGAGAATGCTGTGTAGTTTTCATATACTTCAGAGTACACTACACTAGTAAATGTTCCACCAAGCTGTGATACAATAAGTCAATAAGTTAAGTAACAATAAGTAATATGTAAAGCTTTTTTCAAAGTTGTTGTGGTGGAGCTAGAGCCAAGGTTGTAACTTGGGCATGGGTTACATAGAACTGGAGGTCTTCTGCTGTTACATAATTACTGCAAATACACTATAAATATTAAAAAAATTAACTATAAATATTTAATTCAGTACCGGCAATACTGCCTGTATTAAATTGTGCTTATTACTTTTATATGTTGTAAGCACAGTTGTTAATCAACTTGTAATTGGATTTTTAAAAGGATTGATTGATCTTGTGAAACAATCTATCGTCACACAATGCAACTCTTTTCCAGGACTGCAAACATCCTCCTCCCATCCTGTGGATTAAATCAAAGCTTCACATTGTCTTCACCTCAGTTAATCTGTAAACCTTCAAAGGTGCTGAATGTGGAATTGAAGAATGAACAGCTGTAGAAGGGCCCCTTACATTCTATGAAGCAAAACCAAGCCTCTTACAGTGTCTTCAAGGATTACAACTGAGAAGATCATGGATGTCTCGAGTCCCAGAACTGAAGCCCTGTCAATGGAGCCCAGTGCCAAGCTGTTTTGCTGTGGTTTCGTGAGGCGTTGCATCCTTCTGGTGTATAGAGAAGAGCTATACCACATCCTGCGCATGACTGGACCCCTGGTGAGGAGTCTGTCACATACACATCATGAAAATGTGCTATGCTTGTTCTGTATGAACAGTAGAGGGCTGGCAGATAAATGCAGCTGCTTATACAGAAATTATCCATTACTGAATAGACCATGAGCTGTTTTGGGAACAGTTTGTATTATGTCTTCATGCGTGCCCATTTGAATTCAAATTAATCCTAAATGAGTTGATTCCTGATTGTTAAATGCAGCCATAATAATGTATGATATGTCTTGCATTTTGTATAAAATAAATACTGTATAAAAATATACCTGTCATGCTTGGAAATCACATTAACTAATTTCCAAAATAGATCAATTAAAGAAATTGGTTACAAACAAAATTCTCTCATGAATCTTAATAGAGATGTTTTTCATCCATGTGAGCCCAGTACTTTCATCTTCATTTTGTGCTAAATATTTATTTGTTTGTATTCTTAGCTTGTGTGCCGGTTCCTGAATTTCCTCCTTTTCTTTGTGGTGACAATGTTCTGTGGCCGCCTGGGGAACACTGTGTTAGCAGGCTACGCCATGGCCTCAGCTGTAAGTCTGTTTGATTCAAAACTTCTGCCGCCCAATATGTTTTAAGTACCACATTATTAAGATGTGCAATATAGTTATAGAGCATTAAGCAATACAAAATGTGTTCTATTTGTTTTTCAGACAATAAATGTAACAGCTGCAGCCACGGGGTTGGGACTTGCTTTGGCATGCGACACTTTGGTATCACAGGTGTGTTTTATATACAAATAGCACTCCAACTGCCTAATAAAATAATAAACCAAAAGCCTGAAATGAAAAAAAAAAATAAATTAAACAATGAAAGGCCTACCGTGAATCACACAACAATTTTTGACAGTAATGAAAATGAGGCTGTGAGGGACTGATGTACAGTGCCGTTTAATGGATTGTACTGTTGTTTAACAACATACCGATTGTTCATCTGATAAAATGTCTTTCCGAAAAAAATCTTTCAGTTGACAAAAACTCTATAAAACATTTTTGAAAGTTGTGAAAATTATCTATCAGTTTTATACAGTGCTTGCCATTAGTTTATCCCTCACAGCCTCGTTCAATATGGCATCTAACCTTACTGAGGTCTATAAATAACTTGTCTTTTTTTGTGTTAAAATACTTCAAAGGCATTAGAATGCGAATTATTTTTATTTGTTATATGCAAGCATATTGTATGACATCTTGCATCCTATATAAATGAAATGCTTTATAACAATATGCCAAGAAATTGACATAAATAGCATTAACAGGTTTTATGTGTTATTTCCATTATAGATCAGTTAAAGTAATTGGTAAAAACAAGATTCTGTTATGACATTTATAGTCATAAGACATTTTTAGGTTGATTCCCTCCAAACCATTAACATGCATCAGAGTGAAAAAGCTTTCACCGGAGCAAAGGTAAAAAAGCTAAAAGGAACATTTTTGTATCTTATTTATCCCATAATGGTATATAATAGTATCTTAAAGGCAGATATTAGTACTTTTAAAGTGCTTATTTACTTACATTAGTACCCAAAGTGTACATGTTACTAACTAATAACTAATAGCTTATGCAGTCTTGCATCTTGCTCTCAGACATTCGGGAGTAAGAACCTTCTCCGTGTAGGTGTCATCCTGCAGAGAGGCATCCTAATTCTGATGCTCTTCAGTTTGCCTTGCTGGGCTTTGCTTGTGAACACCCAGCCTCTACTTCTCTATCTGGGGCAAGACCCTGAAGTGGCCAGGTGACGGTCACACTCTTTAACACACACTCATTAAACATATTTATTTGGATTGATATTGCCTGTTGAATGCTTAAATTGAACATTGAAGCACTAGAGTCCACATCAATCGGTGGTGACTGACTGACACTTTCTCTCTCTCAGGATTGCACAGCTCTATGTGGTTGCATTTTTGCCAGCAATTCCGGTAAGGTCCACTAATGGATGATTATGGATTGCATTTCCAGCCCAGATGAACTCAAATCAAATAATTCTTTGTATACATTGCTGTCCATCCTGTCACGTGTCTATATCACAGGCCATGTTTCTGTATCAGCTGCAACTGTCATATCTTCAGAACCAGGTAGATAAAATCATCTTTTAAGTAAAAAATCAACTTAATAGCTGCATTCAGTACTTGTATTATTAATTCACATGAACTCTCTGTAGGGAGTGATCAAGCCTCAGATGTATGCATCTGCAGTTGCCAATGTTGCCAATGTGATAGTGAACTACTTTCTGCTGTACTGGTGGGATTCTGGAGTCTAGTGAGTAGGCTATGTTGAATATGTTTTCCATATGTTTTTTCACATGTGTTTGGTTTTCAATATTTATGCATTTTTCTGTTCATTTTAGTGGGTCTGCTGCTGCAAACACCTTTGCTCAGGTTTTTAATTGTTTTGCCCTGTTTTGTTTCATTCGCTGGCAGAGGCTCTATGAGAAAACTTGGGGAGGTGAGGTTCTATCAGTGTTGGGGAAGTTACTTTGAAACTAGTTTCTCAGGTTCCTTGACTACCTATATTTTAAACTACCTAGTCAAGCTACTCTTTGTTACTTTAGTCTTTTTCTGGAACAAAATAACGTTTTGAATGCAGTTTAGGGTGAACCAATTCACTACAATAATTTGGACTATGACAGACAGCATCATTTGGAAAGACTCGATTCACTAAATTGAATCAGACTTTTCACTGCTTTATGCGGCCGTGTAGGAGTCGATTCACTGGAATAATTCTGATTTCTTGCGTATATATTCTTAGACATATGGCAGAGAAAACCGTTAGGATGAGCCCATTAACTATATTGAATCAGACTTTCCAAGACAATTAAATTGAAAATGAATCACACAAATGCTTCTCACTAAAATTAGCGTATGTTCATTCAGCTTGCTCGACGCGGATTATCAACGCCACTGCTACATGCTGAAAAATGAGCTTGTTATTGGACAACCTACCCAATTTTAAAAACCTAACCTTTTGTACAGCTGAAAGGTTACTATACCGTCATTTGCTACATTGGCTTATTTACTTCTGAATGCAGGTCCCTGTGGTGATTGGTTGGGTCGTGAAGGTCCAAAACACACTGAGACTTGATTCAAACTTGCAGTTTCTTTTCATAGAGCTTGGTGAAGAATAGTTGCTCTGTGGCTCATTTCTTACTGTTTTCCTTTTGCTCCAAAAGGGTGGTCTTCAGAAGCCTTGCAGGATTGGGTGTCCTACATGAAGCTGGCCATTCCCAGCACACTGATGACCTGTTTTGAATGGTGGATCTATGAAGTTGGAGGCTACCTGGCAGGTACAATACATAGTTATCATCATGGCCGGGTTATCCAATGGGCATTATGGGTACTGTATGGTCCCAGGGCCCCTTGCGCACTTGGGGCCCAAACGAGAGGAAGAAAAATTTCGTCTACAAACGAAGTATTTTAACTAAGTGCAAATAGTGAACTAGTTCCACCCACCAATGTCTGGTTGACATAGACAACATTACTAAAGATGCAAGTTATGCCACAAGCTCAGTATCGTAGGGCGTTAAGCACATGGCTCTATGTTTTGACACGATCGACCAGAGTTCTAATCCACCTTTTGCCGAACTCATTCTTCCCTTTTTTTCCCATCACATATCAGATCAGAAAGACATTTGTTTTCAATAAAAATGAAGGAAATACAAAAAAAAGGAAATATTTCACTAGAAGAGGAGAGTAGGAGAAAATAGGGGGAAAGGAGGAGAGAGACAGACAAAGAGAGGCAGCCCCTAAACATTAACAGGTGTGTGTATGTGTGTTTGTATGTGAATTATGGAAGAATCTGATTCATAGAACTGGATTGGTATAGGCTAGGCAGTATGTGCTTGCATATGCCAGTGAGTTACACTATGCAGGGAAATGTCTTGATATTGTTGCTGCTGGTCCAGGAAAGCATTGTTGCAATCATGTGGTGTAAATCCTGTATGATGGAGGATGTGTACAGGTGTTAATCAGTGTAAATCCTGTATGATGGAGAATATCTGCAGGTATTGATCTTGTCTTTCAGGTTGTGATCATAGACTGTAACCTGTCAGTGTAAATCCTGTATAAGCTAGAGGTGTTTCGAAAAAATAGTATCATATAATTCAAGACCTTGATTGTGTGGGGTGGGGGGCCCTTACAAGACATTGTGCCCAGGGGCCTCTGAAAAAAACAATAAAATGACAAAAACACACAACAAAATGACTAAATATTAAAATGAAAACTGAAGATATAAAAATAAAAACATTCAAAATATTAATAAAAACTATTATAGTATCTCAATAATGCTAAAATAACACTGGCACATTCACAGTACAGAAAATAAATGTTTATGTTTGCATACTTAACCATTTTATTTTTTTTACTATTGTTTTTTTTTTTCATTGAATCATTCCCTCATGAATGACTCTCTTCTTCCCATCAGGAATGCTGAGTGAGGTGGACCTGGCTGCTCAACACGTGGTTATAATGCTGGCGTACATCAACTACAAGGTGTGTTTGGATGATCTGAGAATATTCATCATATTATCATAAAAAAGTTACTTTATCCTTTTCATGATGCTGCTGTTTTTGTTCACGTCCTTTCATATATTTCAGATCCCATTAGGAATGCAAGGTGCAGCGTGTGTTCGTGTGGGAAACGCACTTGGCGCTGGGGAAACAGCTGCTGCCATCCTCACCAGCAAGGTGTCTCTCATCAGTGCAGGTAATAAAAACATTTGATATCAGTCATTCCCAAGCTTGACATAACACTTAGACAGTCATATGCAGCACCAATTGATGTCATGTAAACACGTTCATTTTGTTCCCCAGCTGTTATAGCAATCTTTCAAGGTTTTATCCTGGGCTCGACAAAAACAGTCATTGGCTACATATTCACTTCCGATGAGTAAGCCACTTATCTTATTATTTCAAGTGCATAAAACAAAATGTTTGTTGGCATAAGTATACTTAACAAATCTGTAAACACTCCAGTCTTCACATTAAGAATTAAGATATAACAGAAACAATGTCAACAACAGCTGCTCAATTTTCCACTTTGTGATGTTTGTCATATTAAGGGCTATAGCAGAACTTGTGTCTCAGCTACTGAACATCTACTGCCCTCTTCAGTTCTTTAACGGAATATTGGTGAGTTTTACACAACTTTTATTTCTCACATTTAAGATATTTACCAGTGACAGTATATAGGGGGAGGAGATTTGTGAAATTGTAATGCTCAGTATAGGACTGTAGGAATGGAAGTCCTGCCTTTTAGTTAAAAGAGCCAGTCTCCAGAAACATTTTAGCATGGTTTGAGCTAAAGAAGCCCAACTTATGATAACTTTGTTGCAGTATTATTTTAGTATCATCAATAAACTATAGTTTATATACTATATAATAATAAATTATAGCTTTTGTAAAAAAATTTATTTGATTTGATATTTTATATTATTTCATATATTTTATATTTATTTTATTATTTGAATATATACATTATATTTTAAATTATTTTATATATTTTAAATTAGAATTTATTTATATTTAAAAAATATATATATATTTTTCACTTTTTTGTTTAATTTGAGTTTTCTTGTTAAATTTTGAGTAATTTTGTTGTTTTTGTCACAATGTTTTTTTTTATTTCTGTATATTTTTATACATTTGTATTCATTAATTTTAGTAATTTTAGTTATTTTAGTTCTTCAAGTTAAACTAAACAAAAATGACTGAAATATCGGAAATAAAATTTATATAATGTATACATGTGGCTGTGTGTAATTATTCAAATGAATATTCATTTTAATATTCACACAAGTATTTTTTATGAGCTCTATTAGTTTTTTTTTTCTCTTTCAGAGTGTTGGCATGGGCATTCTGCTTGGCACAGGGCAGCAGAAGATAGCCGCTATTGCTAACCTCTTTGGCTACTACTGCATTGGCCTCCCAATGAGCATTGTTCTAATGTTCACGGCCAAGTTACAAGTTGCTGGTTTGTCTAAATGCATCATATTGACACTTACCACATTTACTGATGTTCGATTACATAAATAATCTGGGAACCTTTTGATATATACAATTATTTATTGTCCACTCTTTCAGGCTTTTGGCTGGGCCTCCTCATTGCGGTCTTTTTGCTAGCAATTTTTTTCATTGTGGCTATTTTCAAATTAAACTGGAAGAAAATGACAGAAGAGGTAGGCATATCAGGTCTATTAAAACGACACATTTTTTCTAATTATATTGCTCATGATCATATGATGAATTGATGACTAAAAGTGGTTCTTTATCTCTGAAAGGCAATTGAGCGTACAGGAAAGAGTGCAAATGGAGCAGCAAATGGAGCAATGACCCCGAACCATCGCAACAGCTTCTACCAGGTGGTCCTGAATGCAGAGGTATTTTTCTGTCTTAGTCGTTTTCATTTTAAATAATCAACAAGAACTACAGTACAAGTTTAATGCATTCATTTACTACACCTAATTGCAAAAATAACATGCTAAAAAATGAATGCATTCAATGATGTCTGCTGATTTGTACATTCATACATACACTTTTAAAGGGATGGTTCACCGAAAAGAAAAATTGTCATTTTCTCATTCTCATGTTGTTCCTATGATAACAAACTATGACTTAATCTCTTCTGTGAAATGCAAATGAAGATATTATGAAGAATGTTTAAACTGTTTTGTCCATATAATGAAAGTAATTGGGTTTAAAAACATAATTGGACCTCATTTACTTTGTGTTGACAGAAAACACACACACACAGAAACATTTTTTCAAATATCTTCTTTTGTATTCAGCAAAACAAAGTCATACAGGTCCCCATGGCAGAGTAAAAACTCTAATAGTATAATGGTTGAATTGTGTCTTACTGTTTTAGAATGGGAATGGATATGTGGTTGTGGGCTCTCATGATCAGGATGAGGGGCTCAACCATACTGTGGTACACGAGGGGCCAAACGTGACTCACATGGATGAAAAGCCTGCAGTTCTGCTCTCTAGCGCTCAGCTGATCCTCAGGAGGGGTCTGACCACCCTCGCTGCTCTTCTCATCCTAGCTGTAGGGATAGCCATCCATCTCACTGTGCCTTTACCTTACGTATCTTATGGTGCTGGTGCAGATTTTACTTCAGACTCAAACTTTACCACAGCCACTCCCATCTAGTCAGTGAGTATCGTTTGAAACCTGGACCTCAGATAGATTCACTGTGAACGTTTTCTATCTCTATGCTGTGCAAATGAAAAGTAATAAAGAAATTGTATTGAATTAGAAATATAGAAGTATTTTCACATTGGTCTCAGGCTGTATATTGTAACCTAGATAGATGATCACATTTTTATTCTGTGTGCACTTGCGCTGTCCACAGCATTAGACCGAGTAGTAATAAAATCGACCAGCTTAGTAGCAAAAAGGTCTCTTCCCCAGTGACAGTCATATAATCTCTTCAGCTGACATTTCTAGTCAGGCGGCTGCTGGAGAAATACTGCCAAAAAGATATTCAACAGGACCACTGTCATATATTGAGAAATCTGTATTATTAAACATGGTGGAATGGTGGAAACTTGAGGGGCTGTTCACACAGAAAGCGTTTTTGCACTTAAAATGCGAGTTGCAGGGCAGCGGAATGGAAAAAAACAAGGTCGCTGCCTTTTTATAACATTGTGTAATGCGAATACAACATACAAGGGGCTGTTCCCACAGAACGCATTTTTGCATTCCACTGTGATGCTATTCAACTGTTTTCTATGTAAAAAGTGCGATAGACAACAGTTTCAACATGCCTTTCTAAAAATGTGGCCATTAACTTGAGTGCCACATTTTCAGAAAACTGTCTTGCATGAGATGCCGCAAAAGACATGAGATGCAAGCACAACAGTCAAACACGTTGACATAGGAAAAACAAAAAAAAACACATTGCAGTAGAATACAAAAACGCATTCTGTGTGAATAGCCCTTTACACTGCCTTGTGTCTCACGTTTTTAAACACAAAAACATTATGTGAAAACGGTCCCACATTGGAAGCATGCTGATCCATATGAACTGTTGGAAGTAGTGCAATCATGTGGCATATATTACGTCAATTGCCGTTGTGCCAAATCTAGTATAGAGAGAATCATTGATTATATTGTTTTCTATTTGCTTTTGTCGTGTCATGTGGTTTGCGTCTGGTGTATACATAGTGCAACCTTTTGTGAGATTGCTCACAATTGAGCTTTTAAAGGTTACAGTAAATGTTAACTGGTAACTATAGAACCATCAAGTGACACAATGTGGTATCTCCATCTGGTTAAGGTCTCAGGCAATGAATGAATGCAAAATTAAGTGTTTTTTTCATTGACTAATATATTTGGTAAATATTTGGTAGGTTTTTGATATTTTTTTGTATTGTAAATCATTTTTATTTTTACATTTAAGTGGTTTTATGTATAAACAGTATGCACCAATAATATATTACTGCATTTTTAACCTACGTTTTAAGCCTATAAGACTTCCTAAGACTAATACATAAATATATTCACATACATGCTGTTATGTCTATCCAGAGCTCTGCTGTCATATTGTTTGTTGTTAACTTGTTATACTGTATGTAAATGTTTAAGGCTCCTCTAGGCCATTAGTATTAACTAACCATAGGAATTTAGCAGATTAAACAGTCTGATGTGACTGTGACTCTGGGCTGTTTTCAGATGAGTGTCATGTGTGGAAAGATAATTCAGCTGCAGGGAGCAAAGAGTGATATTAGTGGGGGTTGTTTCATTGGAACTAATGAAGTCAGTGACATGATTTAAATGGAACAAGACATATAAACACGCACATGCCCTGTGGAGGACAGTCAGTAGGTGTTCCAGCACACCCCATTTTAAGAACTGTTTATTGTAAAAAGATAATCTATAATTAGATTTAGTTCCTACTTTTAAACCGCTGCAAAGATTGCACATAGTTGACTTAAAGCAGCTTATCACAAATGAAATCCCTGGGTCAATAAATCACTATCCCATTTTATTCTGAATAAAATTTTAATTTCATGGTGACTTCAATGACAATGTGTCTATCTACTTTTTGATTTTTGTGCATTTCAACTCCATGTCCATGAAATAACATTAATTTAAAGCGGTTTCTGGTATTCATGTTTGTAATTTGTGTTTGCTGCAACACATTTGCTCTTTTTAATATAAATTCATGAGATGATAAATACGTGAGAGCATGCGGGAATGAGAGTATAGCCTTATATGCTAAAACAGCTTTATTGCAGATTTATTGCAAGATTTGGGATTGTACAGGTCGTTTTTGTTTAACAGAGTAAATGACAGATTAATACATATATTTATATCAATAAAAATAAACATTTACACAAAATGAGCAAGTACAAAATGGCTTACCCAATGTCATGTAAACAAAACAATGCCTTGATATTTAATGCCTGGACACTGTCTGAAATCCCAGAAAGCTGCCCTGCTTTGTGCCTGACAGGCCTCACCTGCCTTTCAGATACAATACAAAGTGGACATAATGAACATGTTGCACTGGTTGCTTTTGGGTGGCATCCTGGCACTGGCACATGCACTGGCTGGACTCTCAGTCTGTTTTAAGACACATTTTCCCAGTACCAGTCCTTCAGCTGTTATAACGTCATCTCTTAAGAAAGAATTTAACGACGAGTCCAGCAGCGAGGAGAGCTAGCATAGCTGCCAGAGCCAGACTGCAGAGCCACCTTCACTGTAGCAACTAGCGCATCGGTCTGCTCATCCACTAGTCCATCCATATCTGTAGCATTATTCGCGTCACAGCCCTCAATATATCCACTGTCCTCTTGTGCACCTGACAAGAAAATGACTTATTAGCATGCCTCATTAAATAAAATCAGACTTTTTGAGTTGTTAGTGTCACAACAAACATATTACCATCATCCGTCCCTCTCATCAGCACACCAGCCCTGATCTGTGCCTGGAAAGTGAAAAGTTTCACTTAAGTGCACTGGAAAAGGACTAAATCAACTTTTAATGAAAGGAAATCCTATATTCCTCACCTCTTCAGAGGCTTTCTTCCAGTTCAGTTTGAAAAGAAGGACAGAGAGGAACACTGACTGAAGGAAGACGGAAATTAACAGGCCAGTCCACAGACCTTGAGGAGATTAGAGGAATGGTTTACATAAAATGCAAGACAGAGTGAAACAGAAAAAAAATATTAATATTAAATATCATTAAAAAAAATTTTCAAATGCTAATTTTGATGTATATTTGTATTTTAATATAAGAAATATCATTAGAAATATAATTTACTATTATTAGTTATGTTTTTCTGTTACAATTTTAAATGATATATTAATGTATACTTATAATTATAAATATTAAATACAATTATTATTATTATTATTTAGTGTATTATTATTATATACACACAATTGATTAATATTAAGATAAAAACAAGTTATGAATTAATTACAGATAATATATAAACATAATAATACATTCTATTTAACAACAATAATACAATTAATAATATATAAGATGTAGCTGATAGAAAATATATATTTTTAATTTATTACATTACATATATGCCTCACCAAAAATTCCCCATTTCGCAGCAAACATCAGAAATATTCCAATAGGAAACCCAACAGCATAATATCCCACAAGGTTGCAGATTGCCCCAATCTTCTGCTTGCCCAGACCTTTCACTATACTGCCACCTGCTGCCTGATTGGATTGAAGGAAGAAATAATAATTAACATTTTCTCCCCAGATGACCCTTTGCAGTGTAGTTTTAGATGTGTCTGTATAAGGGACAACATCCAATATAATTAAGGTTTGAACTCCACTTTCCTGATCGATGTGTTGGTGTTGTCAGTTTTGTTATTAACACTCTAACAGTTTTGCTCTAACACAACTCTGCTAATGGCTTACCGCTGTGGCATCAAGAAGATGGAAAGGAGCGAATAAAACCATTACCGTGGCAACCCTGCCTCTTTGAGAGGAAGGAAAGAAAACAATTGCCCCAATATTAGTCTTGTTTTTCTCAAAATGCTGTTTTCAAAATAACACTATTTTATGACTTTGAGGCTATGAATTTTATGAGTTTGGGGCTTTAAAATACTTATTTTTCAAAGCAGGTTAATATTATGTTAATTCTAGATGCAAAAGAATTAAAGTTAGAAAATGTATAGCCTACTGTAAATAAAGTTATGTTTGTAAAAATGTTCATCTAAAACCTCTTTTCTCAACAAAAAATGCGAACATGAAGTTCATATTTAAAGTACTACATGAACAAAGTTCATTCTGGAGTTACCACTTAAGTACTAGAGATATTAGGAGAAAAGTGCAGAGATAATTATGAAAAATAGTTAAGAAGCAAATGTTTTTAACTAAAGGAAGAACACTCACTTGTCATTCGTGAAGATATAAGCAATTACATTCTTTGAAGAACCAACGACAGTTGCCAAAACCACTGCAACAGACACTGAAAATGAAATAAAATAAAATAATTTCCACATTTCCATAAGAATATTAGCGTGGAATGAAAATAATTTACAGTAGCTAGTGATGTATACATCACCACAAGTGATGTATAAGCAACCTATTAGCAAAGAACAGGCATAAAATGATGATTTTCTGTAAACAAAATCTAAAATCGTTGTTCTTTCTTAGTATTACCAGCACAAATCATAGAGAGTTTGGCAGAGAGCTTGGCTTGAGCAACATCTCCTGCTCCCATGGCATTTCCCACTCTCACATTGCCAGCTACACTGAACCCTACAGGGAACTGAACACACGCCACTGACTTTAAGTGTTCATACAACCTTGAAATAAAACACTTTCACACTAATGAATATATACCATGTATGCAATATTTGCCAGTCCATACACAACTGACTGAGCTCCAAACTCCACTTCACCTATCAGACTTGCCATAAAAAAAATAAAAAATAAAAATAAAAATACAAAGGTTAGGAACAGGGTTCATTTCAAGTTAATTCTGAATTAAAATGCAGAATTGTAATTACATTTTGAATTTAAGAAAGTAGAATTAAAATGAAATCAAATACAAAGACATTAATTTGTTTGCTGTAAGTTTTAAAAATACATTTTATGTTATTTCAATTTCATGTTATCATACACATAAATAATCATATTATCAGAAACATTTTATAATACTAATAATCAAA